CTCTCTCTCTCTCTCTCTCTCTCGCGCGCGCGCGCTATGTCTCTCTCTCTCTCTCTCTCTCTCTCTCTCTCTCTCTCTCTCTCTCTCTCTCTCTCTCTCTCTCGTGCGCCCACGCGTTCGACGCAAGGGGAACGTGTTTGTCGCGTTGAAGCGTTTGGGCTCGCGCGGCAAATGAGGTGTGGCCGAACGCAACGGCCTCTTTTTGTACCCGTTCCCCCTGCACCCCCCCCCCAGCTGGCCGTAGAAGCCGAGTACCCTGCGAACGCTGTGCTCGACGTCGGGCCGGCATCGTCCGGGTTTTTAGTTTTTTGTAATTACAAAAAAAAAAAAGAATGCATGAGGTGGTACCCAACAAGGGACTCTCCCACCCCACACTTTCAGAGACCCCGACCCCCCCCCAACCGCCAGAAAGTCGGGTCCGCGGACCCCGTTCATTCGCGTCCAATGGGCGCTTGAATGGGAGTTTAACGGAATTCAACGCGCATTCAATTTTTTAACGCGGAACGTGCGTTAAGTCCGATTTCGGACACACAGTACAACGGGCACTCTATAGACTCCTGGCTATCATGTAAAACAGCCCCTATTCCTCCATCGGCAGGAAGGGGAAAGTTTTCTGGCACAATGACCTTCATAATGTCAAACGCTGTGTGGACCCCTATGCTTATCGATGTGACATCGCATACGGATATCGATGCCTCATCGGGCTTGTCCCTCCTGGCCAGCAGGCCGGCCAGTACTGCAGCTCCAAATGCCACAGCCTCGTCGGGATCGGGGCTTACAGACTTGATGCGCGGCTTGCTGAAGAATGCTGTCAGCATCTCTTGCACATTGGGGATCCTCGTCAATCCGCCTGCCAGGAGCACGTCAGAGATATCACCCTTGCTCATCTCGGCATCACAAAGAGCTTGTCTGACGATCGTTATGCACCTGTGAAATAACCCTTGGTTCAGACGCTCAAACTCTACTCGGTCCAATCTCAAATTGAAGACATTTTCATGGCAATCCAAGAGGATCTCCGTGCCGGTTTTGACGGAGAGATCATGCTTGGCCTCCACGACGGCCTGGTTAAGCTTTCGGAGAATCCTAGGATCCCCCAGCAAAAAATCTTTCCTGTGACCCTGCCGCTTGAACAGCTTCGCAGCATACTTGGACATGCTTTTGGCCTGATGCCTACCCCTGAACTGCTCCGCTGCATGCTGAATCAGCCGCTTGTCTATGTCAGAGTCTCCGGGATGAGAGTCCCCCTTTTTTTTTTTTTTTTTTTTTTTTTTTTTTTTTTTTTTTTTTTTTTTTTTTTTT